CGGCCTGCTCCGGGGCCCCGGCGCCCCACTGGTGGAGGAAAGCGCCCCAGCACGCTGGCTCCGAACCCAGTCTCCAGGTCCGACCCACCGGGCCTGTCCTCCGGCCTCCGGACACTGGCCGCAGTGGCCGAGGCAAAGAGTGAGTCCCCGCCGGTGCTGCGGACCCACCTGGCGGCTCGCCCAGCCCGGACCTCGTCGTCGGTGGCTCGGGGTCATCTCCAGGTGGAGAGTCTGGGGTTTGCCGGGGCAGCCCTCGCCCAAGGCCCCCACCCGTCCAGTGCAGACGTCACGCGATGCCTGCCACACCTGCGCCCGCCCTGCGCGGGCACTGCCACGAGACAGGAGGCGGGCGCTGGGCAGGGGTCCCCTGGGCTCTTGCCGGCTGCCTGCGGCCAGGACTGGCCACCGAGGAGCTGGGGACACGGGCCTCTCCCCGACTCCTCCCCCTCTCCCCTGCGCAACTCCTGGGAAGGGGGGCAGCTCCCCTCCGGGCAGCACAGCCACTCGGCCCCCCGGGCCTGGCCCCCTGGGCTCCAGAGGCCCCAGTGGCAGCGTGCCCAGGCTGAGGCTGTGGGGGGGCGGGGGCGGGGGCGGAGGGCTTGGGGCGCAGCCTCCGAAGCTGTGAGGGTGGGAGCCCCGCGGCAGGCGCACCTCCAGGAGCGAGCCCTGCCAGCCCGAGGACTGCAGTTGATAACGAGCCCCCGACGCCGGCTGAGGGCGCAGACCCGCGCCCCCCGGCGGCGGTCGACCAGGAGGCCGCTGCCTGCGGGCCGGCGGCCATCAGGCCCCGCTGTTCCGCCTGCTCCGCTCTCTGCACACCTGAGAAGCCGAAGAGGAAAGTCTGCTCATTAAACAACGGGAAACAAAAACCAGAAAACAGACCACCTGTCCCTGAGAACCGCCCGGCCACGCACGGCCCTTTGATGAATATTTCAGGTCCCAGGTTCACTCAGGCACAGAACAGCTGGATCTGCGCTAAAGGCTCTGAGCGGGGCCGCCTGCCCACGGGGAGCGGGCACCGGGGGCGCAGCTGGCATCCCCGCCCGCACGCCCACCCCCGGCCACCGTGGGGTCGAGGGCGTCGTCTCTGATGTCCCTCAGCGGGAGGCAGTCCCGGGCTGCCCGGGCCTCCTCGGCGGGCTGCTGGCCCTGGGGTGTGTGGACGCAGGTTCCACAAGGCACTGCTGGCCCAAAATAGCTCTGTCCTCTCCCGCCGTGGCCCCGCCAGCCACAGGGCCCAGCCCGGCGGATTCCCGGACCCACAAACCCCGGGGGAAGGAAGACGCCCCGAGTCCAGCCCCTCGCTGCCCGGGGGCATATCGAGACCCTGGAGAGGCAGGGCGCGCCCGTCCTGGACAACCTGGGGTCAGCGCTGCCGGCCGCCGGGCATCGCGGCAGGAAGAGGGGCTGGCTCGGCCCAGCGGTCCCGGCGTCCCCCCACTCGGCCGGGCGACCCGTGTGTCTCCTGAGGGGAGGGCCCGGGGCCCCCTGGACATGACTAGATGTCGTAGAGACCAGTCTTGCGGACACCCCGCAGCGAAGGACGCTTGGAACCTGGGGGCAGAGCGGATTCTGTGCTTGCCGGGGGGCGGGGGGCAGTGTGCTGGAGCCATGCCTGCACGTCAGAGGCAGGGCGACCCCCCAAACTTCCTGCGTTGAAGCCCTGGCCCAGCATCTCAAAATGCGCCCCATTGGGAGACGGAGCCCTCAGGAGGGAAGCGGTTAGAATGACCCCACGTTCAATCTGACTGGCGTCCTTAGGGGAGAGCACCACGAGAGCACCACGGGAGAACCACGGGAGGGCCCGGGAGGGGCCTCGGAAGAAGCCGGCCTGGCTCAGCCTCAGACAAACCTGGCCCCGGGGGACTTCGAGCCCCGGAGCCTGAGGAAACACACTTTGGGGGCCTCAGGCACCCAGATTCTGGCACACCGACCCCTGCCTCAGCTCAGGGGGGCAGGCCTGAACGCGAGTTGCTGACGAGCCGACGGTTTCCCCGGAAGCTCTCGGGCCGCCTCTGCGAACCCCGTCTCAGCGCGCTGGCACCCAGTGACGGCCCGCAGGCATCTCGCCCGCCTGGAGCGCGCCTCCTGCCCACGCCGCACCCAGGAGGCGGCCTTTCACTGGCCGCCTGGGCTCGCTGCCTCTGGGCTTACGGCCCTGCAGCCCCTCCCCCCGCACCTCCTCAAGCAGGCCCCCCCTTGCAGATCAGTCTGCGACCCCAGGCGCCCTCCGCCTGAGTGTGCCGAGCGGCGCGGCCCTCGTCCAGGACCCGGGCCCCAAACTGCCGGCGGGGTTCTGGCCGTCACCGTCATCATACCCGTCGGTTACTAATATGACGCTGGGTTAGTGTGGACACGTCTCCCACTGAGCGCCGAGATCCCTGTCGACTCCCCAACTGCTGTGAGTGGCTCCCCCTCACCTTCCCCTGTGCCTCTCAGCTCCCCCAGCCTCCCCTTCCCGAGGTCCCCACTGGGGACCGCTAGCAGACCCCAGGGGCACCCAGCCTGTCTGTCACCGGGAAGACCGACTCGGCTGGCTCTGCCAGAGGACAGGGGCTGCCAAGGCCGCGCTGCCCTGACCTGCGTGCCCGCTGGCCCGCCGGCCGGGCCGGGCAGCAGATGGTCAGAAGCTAATGCAGCAGCCGGCGTATCTGCCCTCGCGAGCAGGCTGCAGAGAGGCTTAATCAACAGTGAGCGCAATGCACACAGCCCGAGCCTCCCCCGCCCTCCTCACGGCCTCCCTCGGCGTGCTGTCCCCCCCACCCTCCATTTCAAGGCCCAAGACCTCTGAAGTCCAGTCCCCCACCTTCCCCAGACACCACCTGCTCCTCCTGGTGCGGGGCCGTCCGTCTGCCCTGGGCTGGGGGCGGGGGGCGGGCTCCGCGGCACCTGCAGCCCCCAGCCCCCCACCCGGCTGCCCCTGACAGCTGACTGCCGCAAGAGTGGGGGCGCCGGGCCGGCGGGGCCGCCGTCTGCTGGCCTTTCGCGCTCGCACGCTCCTCTACGAGATCAGATTAACTAATAATGGCACGAGAGTCTGGTCCCGTGGCCCCGTGAGGGGCTTGGGAGTCCATCTCGGGGTAGGGTGACCCCAGAGTCCACCTCTGATCCCGTCCAAACCAGTAATTGTCTCTTTGCCCCCCAATCACACCCTTCTGGACTTTCTCCAGAAAAAGACGCACGCGCACACCTGACACCTGCAAACCCGGGGGGCTGTGGAGCCCGGCCCCCCTGGGAGCCGCTGCTCCGAGGCTGGCCTGGCGTCGGGCCTCGGCGCTACCCTCCAGGTGGCGTGGCCCCGAGAAGGCGCCTGGACTCCCTCCCGTTTTCTCTCATTTAATGCCATGTGCAATAACGTGTGTAAAACGCCCAGAAAGGCCCCCCAACAGCAGGAATCACCGAGAAGCGGCAGCCCCTCCCACCGTGCTCCCTAGTGGCCAAGTGGGGACCCCACACTCAGCGCAGAGCTCACCGGAACGCTGCCATGGGGGGGACCCCGAGATTCATTGAGGGCATCCAGGCCCGCCGCGTCCCCCCAGTGCCCCAGGGAGGCAGAGGCTACAGTCACCCCAGGGTCACAGGTGCTGGCCTGCCCCTTGTTCCTTGCCCTGGGGGGTTGGGGAGCCGACTGGCCCCCTGCAGGCGGGGGGAAGGCGGCCCTGGGGGGCGGGGCAGGGGGCAGCCAGGCAGGGGGCAGCCAGCCCGCCCCGATGGCAGTGCCAGCGAGCAGGGTGGGAGCAAATCTCTAGACACCAAGTGAGAACTGCCTGGGGTGAGCTATTCCATGGAGAAAACACTTCCTGCCACGCGTTGCAGGCCTTGCCATGCTCTTAAATGCTTTTTGCTTTTATGTTATTTTCTGTGCAAAGGGGGCAGTGGGAGTCAGAGGCTGGGTTGTAAATGCTGTAGACAAGCTTCGGGCAGAAAAAACATAATTGAGTGGGGCGGTCAGTGTGGAAGGGCCGGGGGACAGTGCCTGGGGAGGGGGCTGGCCCAGCGAGAGGCTGCCACCAGACGAGCCAGGAGCCTCGGGAGGAGCAGTAAGCGGCCGAGCCGCGCGGGCACAGCATGGCGGTGCCTGGACGTGGGGTGTGGGGCCCGCGGAGGGTGCAGTCCTGGCGGCTCCGAACCCACGTTTCTCCCCCGGAAGGGGAGCTCCTGGGGCAGAGCAGACCCCTGCCGTCGTCCCAGCCCTCCTTGGGCTCGGGAAACCTTGGCGGGGGGCTGACTGCGAGCGAGGGGGCGAGGGGTCTCCTCACGCGAGTCCCGCGGCTGCTGGAGGGGAGCCGCCTGCCCGCCACCAGCGGAGGCCGGCGCCCGGGGCCTGCAGGAGGCGGTGTCGTCCAGCGGACAAGCCAGGCACCGTGCTCTGCGTCCCGCGGAGGAGGAAAGGCCCGGGGGCTTCTCAAGGTCAGGGGCCCGCGCTGGACTGCACGGGCGGGACAGAGCCGCAGCCGGCGCCAGGCACGTCGGGCTGCGCCCTTCACCCCCACGCGGGAAGGACACACCGCCCCCCACGCCCCCACCCAGACCCGGGAGGCCGGGGAGGTGGGCGCGCCCAGGCAGGGGCAGCAGCTGACAGATCTTGAAGCCGTCTGCGGAGCTGCCAGCGGATCTCGGTGCATCCCCAGCCCGCCTCAGCTGGGGTGCCCGCTCGGCCAGAGGGGGGTGGGAGCAGACCGCCCCTCTCAGAGCAGGCCCAGGGAGGGCCCACCTGGGG